AGGTGTGTTTTGGTGTGTGTGGGGGGAAACCCACAAAAGACAAATGCACCAAGAAAACCCCTCAAAACCTAAATTGGGGAAGTAAAACCTTATTAGTCTTTTAAAATTTCTTGGTACACACTATATTAAAATATGGCATCTTCTTTGTGCTATGCTTCACATTACTGTTTGCTCTTTACCCCAGGAAAGAGACTCTTGAAAATGCCCCATGAACAGTTTCTAAGAATCATACAAGCCCCTCTCCCTCATCCCTCACTTCCAGGACCTTAAAATGGATTCATCTGATACTAGGAGGCTCTGGGGCCCAGAAATGGGCTCTGACACTTGAATTTCATTCAAGAGACTCAAGCCTGAGTGACAGAAAGAATCCAGCCCAGCCTGGGTCCCAGAAGGTCTGGGTTTTCCCATCTGCCCGTCCCCTACAAGGTTGGGCCACTGAGACCTCATTTGCACTTCTAGCTCTGCTTCTGACTAGTTGTACAGACTTGGGCAATTCACCTAACTTCTCTGGGTCTGTTCCTCCATTCGTAAAATGAGGGGTTTGGACTAGGTGAGCTCCAAGTTTCCTTTCAGCAAAAAAAAGCCCATGATTGCCAGTGCCTTGCTCAAAGCTCATTGCCCTCATGTTTAAAGCAATGAATCTTTTCCACTTCATAGGGAGGTGGTGAAAGTGTATGCAAATGTGCTCAGCAAACCTTAAAACAACACAAATGTCAAGCCATCGTCATTATTATTAGAGTTCTTTATGCAGCTCTCTCTTTAAAGCATATTTCATGTCTTTTACCATTTGTGCTAAAGAGTGATTTCTGCCTTACAGGAATTCCTGAACTTCAGGCCTTGGTTTGACAAAAGGAGGCAGGATATCAGTTCAGGTAGATGAAAGCTGTTGCAATTGACAGTAGTATCTGAAAGTTCTTAGGAAGGAAGTGGGCTAAGACCTACCTTCAGTCCCCAGAAAGACTACCTCCTCACATTCTCATTTAAGCACTTACTAAGAAACCCGGAGTTCTCAAATGAGGCTTTTTCCAAAGAATGAAAAGGCCTTGGAAAGTTCCAAGGGCAATAATAGTAATTCTAGGTGCTTATCTTTTGCCTTTCATCTTCATTTCCAAGTAATTTACCCACATTAACTCATTAGAACTCCTAACCCTATACCTCCCATCACTCTTGCCTTTGGGATAGAGGGAGGTGATATTATCTAAGCTTTGCATTTGGAGAAAGCCCCTGGATTGAAAGCAATAGTTCTTCTGTCCACATCTGGTGGAATCCTCTCCTGCCACAAGTGGCAAACTCTCTCATCTCTTGTCCCCCATTCCCAGGACTCCTGTGGTGCCACCTCAGTACCTTGCCCAGCATCCCAGGGTGTCAGAACTGGAATGGCTCCTTAAAAACTCCCTGAAGTGGGAAACTCCTTGTTTTACAGTGCAGGAAATTGAAGGAGGGGAAGTGAAATGCCCAGAGCAACACAACTAGTTAGGGACATAGTCAATAACTTGTCTAGAGGCAAAAATTAGGACTATCTACCATTCTCTCCCCCACATGCCCTAACAAAACCAAAACCTCTTTGCGCTCTACTGGGCATGTCAATGCTGCTTAAACCTGAGGAGTATGGGGAAGACAGGTAACATAATGTCTATCTGATCAAGCAGCACAGAGTTTCTGTTGCTACCTCTTAATAGCTGTCTTGTGCTGAGCAACTGTGGTGGCCCTTCCTCTCCTAAGCTCCTGGAATGAGTCATTCTTAAGCAAAATGGAAGTTGCAATTCCATCATTTTGGATAGAATGAATTAATGGGAAGGGCTCTCTCCTTTTCTCTCATTTAATAGCTAAATTAACATAAGCCTATAGGCACAGAGCTTTAGGGAACAGAAAGTCAGTTTGTGAACAATTATAATGTGAAATGAAAAGTACATTGTGGCCCAGAAGCCTGGGCAGCTCTAGGTTTAAAGTAGAATAAACTATTTTGCCGAGAACCCAGCTGAATCAACTGTATGCTTTTCACAGAATAGGCACACAATAAATATTTGATGATTGATTTGGTAGGCAAACATTCTTGACAGTTGGATACTTTTCCATGTTAAACTTTCTTTTTTTTATTTTTCCTTCTTAAAAAATGTTTAGCTACATAAGGCACAGGTGACTAGTGTTCAATACAGCTAAAAGGAATATTGGTGACAGTGGCTGTCATCTGTATTTCCCAAGCTGGTTTCTAAGTAGCACTGATTCTGGAGTATCTTGAGAAAAAAAGTTTCAATGTTTAAATAAGTTGGGAAGCATTACTAATCCTCCTACCCTGGTCCCTCAAGATGCTAAAGGCATACACCTTAGTAAAGACATTGAAAAGAGCTGGGGTTAAAAAACAGTTTTAACTTTGTTGAAACAATTTATGTCCAAGACCATCTGAGCATGGAACAATCCTATCCCCATTTTTTGCATGATATCTATGAAAGTTTCACAAAATTTGTGTTCTTTGGAAAATACCTTGGGAATTACTAATTGAGCCCAGCTTTCTGAATTTTACTGATAAAGAAAGAGGTCCTGAGAGAGGCTTAAGGTCTTATGAGAAGTTATTGGGGGAGATAACTAAATCCCCATTTCTTTCTTGAATGCCTGGCCCACATTGGTCAACGAAACTCAACTATAGTGGCATTCCTAATGGGTCCTGGGATGTCAGACATCATGGGCAGTGCTTGAGATGGTATAGAAAAAGGATGGGAACATTTTAATCCTTAATGGGTCCTTTTGGGGGTAATTTTCTAAAACATAGAGGTTGTTTTAGATGCTCTTTAAAAATGGTAACCATTGCCGGCGTGGTGGCTCACGCCTGTAATCCTAGCACTTTGGGAGGCCAAGGCGGACGGATTGCTCGAGGTCAGGAGTTCGAAACCAGCCTGAGCGAGACCCCGTCTCTACCAAAAATAGAAATAAATTAATTGACCAACTAAAATATATATATACAAAAAATTAGCTGGGCATGGTGGCGCATGCCTGTAGTCCCAGCTACTCGGGAGGCTGAGGCAGTAGGCTCGCTGAGCCCCGGAGATTGAGGTTGCTGTGAGCCAGGCTGACACCACGGCACTCACTCTAGCCTGGGCAACAAAGTGAGACTCTGTCTCCAAAAAAAAAAAAAAAAAATGGTAACCATATCCCATTCTTTCCTTATCTCATAGATCTTGGGATGCCTGCCCATCCCATCTTGGGATGCCTGATTATGCCATAGGTGCTTAACAAAATGTATTAAATGAGTAAATAAAAGAACCTAGAAGGAGTCAGAGGAGGTTGGTGGCAGGGAGGAAGGAGGAAAGGGCCAAGAACTGAAAGAGTGAGAAAAGGAAAAATGTAGAGAAAGAGAGGGATGAGGGGAAAAAAGGAACCAGTAGTCACTGACCAGGAAAGAGGACAGTTGAGAGAAGGAAAGGAGACAGCTGCAGATGATGGAAAAAACAACAAAGGAAAACAGTGCCTGGGAAGCTTTGATTTTAAAAAGTGAACATGACTTATGATGGGAATTCAGATACTAGTCATGCCAAGAGGCCCCTGCCCAGGATATGGAGATGATCGCCAACTGCTGAGAATCTTTTTGATCTCATATCAAGGTGTATTTATTGCATGGGTATAGTAAATGTACAGGCATCTTCTTGAGTACTATAACAATAACAGATAAGACACAGGTCTTGCTCTCAACAAAGTTACAGTCTAACGGGGAGAAGAGCTAGGACAGGGACTCAGAGAAAATGATGCCAGGTAGACCGTGATCAGTGCCTCTGGGGGTACAATGAGCCAGTATTGTGAAGAATCAGGGGCCTCAAAATCATATCAAGTCATGAGGCTCAAAAAAGAGTATGGAGGGAGGGCCATGAGAATAATGAATAGGATCACACCAGGCATTTTAAGGTGACAGGATAAAGAAATACAGAAGGTCAGGAAGCATGTGGCACAGTGAGTAGTCCATGTGGGTTCCAGCAAAACCGGTGTATGGACTGGGTGGGAGTTGGAGACATGGCCAGAAAGTCCTGAAGTCACAGTGTGGAACAACCTTGAATGCCTGGCTCAGGTGCTGACACTCCAGGGAGGCGATGGAAGCGAGTGAAGGATTTTTGTGTGTGTGTGTAGAGAAAATAATAGCATTAGAGACGATTCCCAGGCAGGGTACTGGGCAGAAAGGGGTAAGTCAATGCAAGGAGCTGCCTTGCACGGGCTGAGGCAGTTTGGTTCTGGAGAGACCAAGCGACCATTCAGGTGTTGCCCATCAGATAGTAGGAAAATCTGGCCAGAGACAAAGGCTGACTTCTCTCCTGAGAGCACAGAGATAGCATAAGGTTCTGGTCATCCATTCCCTCTGGGGATAGCGACCTAGGAAGAATGAGAGGAAAAGACCAGCCAATGAGAAGGCAACCAAGAGGAAAAGTCACAGAAAACAGCCATGGGAGGCGGAAGTTTCAGTACAGAAATTACAGCCAGTGCTGAGAACCCCAGCCTTGGACTCCGAAATGGGAGCGTTGGAACCCCAGTGCCCCGCCTAATCATGATTAGCACAGGGATTTCAAAGTTTTTGAGTCTGTTTCTAATCTGTGAAATGGGAATGATTTCTATCTCAAAGGGTTGAGGGCATTCACTGAGAGAAATTCTTAGCATGGAGTGAGCAGGGGCCAGAGGGAGAAGGAACAGGAGAGGTCGGGAGTCTTCCCCTCAGGAGTGTCTAGAAATGGAGGCAGTGACCCTCAGGAAGCCCAAAGCCTTTGCTTTAGCCGAGTTTGCAGAACACTGCGCGGGCAATGGGTGAGCAGGGTCAAGGCAGCCTCACTCTAGTCCCCTCTCCACCCCCTGACACTGCCACTGCCTGTTGGCCCAAGCGTCCATTCCGCCGAACCTCCTGAACCCCTTCTTTTCCCCCTAGGGCTTCCCGCTCCGCTCCCACTCCAGCCCGTCCCAGGGGCCAGAAGCGCATGCGCCCTCCTGAGCCCCTCCCCAACTTTCCACGTTTCACTTCTCTCCCTTTTCCTCCTCAGCTCCAGGTCCGCCGCCACGATTGGCCACCCGACCTCCACGTCTCGGCCAATAAACGCCGTCCTCTCGCCCCCGTGTTACTGGGTAGAACAAAACAAAAACAAACAGAGCGAGAGGGGCCAGAGACGCTCCGAGGCGGCGGCAGAGGCAGAGCAACGGGGTCAGGGCCGGCAGACCGGGGACCTGGGCGAGCAGCGGCGGTGGCCCGAGGGGTCAGTACCGGTGGGCGCGGCTCGCACGCTCGGGAAGACTGCGCCCTTTCCCACATCCCTCGTCTCTCCTCGGAGGCAGCCGCACGTTGGGAGGGGGAGGGGGCGTGAGGCCGCGGCCGGGTCGGTCCGGGCCTGTGGAGCGGGGGTCCGGCCGCCGCCTCACAGCCCCGTGGGTCCAGCCGCACCCGCCCCAACGCCCGGGACTGCGGGCAGCCGGCCTGGGTTCCCTCGTGCTGGGCCCAGCCCAGAGTGCTGAGGCGCGGGCCCGCCCCCTCCCGGCGCCCCGACCCCACTTGGCGGGGCGCGCGGGGCGCTCGCCGGAGAGGGGCTCCTCCTCGCCCCACCCCCAGGCAGAGGTTTAATTTGGGGGCGAGAGTGGGGAGGTGTGTTTCCCGCGGGACTGAAATCCTGTGGGAACGTTTGCGCCCTCCCCGCCCCCCTGTGCCCCCTGGAGGCCCGTGAGGAGACGGTTCTCCGCCCGGCGTTTGCAGACCCAGGCCCGCAGCCGCGTCCCTGAGCCCAGGCCACGGCCGCCCGGGGGTCCCGGCCTGCGCGGGCTGCGGAGAGCAGGCCCGGCCGCCGTGGGTTGGGCCCACGCGCGCGCCCGCCGCCCGGCCCTGCGCGAACTTCGCCGCCCCCCTCCCCCGGCGAAGGGTCCCCTTCTGACTTCAGTTAAAATATAATCTCCCAGAGAAAACAAAGACAGGAAGGGAGCCCCCTTTCTGTGAAACGCGTGCTGTGGCTGCGTTTGTCAGTTTGGTGCTGTTACGTACGTGGAAGGTTTTCTGCAAGAGCTTCAAAACTGTCTGCAGACGTCAATATCGCCCATGTCCCCCATGCCCTTGTGAGAACAGGCTACGTAGCCAGCAACTGTGGAGTGTCTACAGATGATTAAAATATTAAAAATGCAGCTAGGGGGTTGTGTGGGGAAAGGACTACTGCCTGTTTTTAACTTGTGTTTTTACAGTGAATCTTTATAATTTTAGCATTCTTGTTAATGTAAGCCTTTTTGGAAACCACCATATGCTTTTTTTTAAAAAAGCACTGAAGATATGTTGTAAATTTACTACTTGGTGTTTATGCCCTTTAATACTCTTCATTATTGGTTTCTTGAATTGCTTAACATCTCAGCAGACATCTTTGAATTAAAATTGGTTTTTCTATAGTACTAATGTGAAAGCAAAAATAATTGTTAGGACTGCAAAAACAAATGCCCCTTGGATATTTTCTGTAGTGCTCACTTTTACATTATTGTGGTAGAATGCTTTTAGCAGATTTTAAGTTGCCAATTAGCTGTGATTGTAGGCCAAGAATGAATACAGGTAATTTTCTAGTTAACAAATGGTCTAAACTTGACTCCCCAAAATGTCAGAGTGATTTATGAGGTTTTTCTCAGGAAATAGATTTTGTCCAGGGTGGCAGACTCGCTCTTTTAGGGAACATCTTGGCAATTGAATACTTATGATTGTATGTTTTTGTGTAACACACTGGAGGAAACAATATTTAATTTCAACCGTCATTTTTTTTCTAACATGTATGTATAGTTTTCTTATTAGAAATTAATGTTTTATAGCTTAGTATGAAGGAATTAGGGTTTAGATTTTTTTCCTTTACATTTTCTTGTTTGAGGCAAAAATCTTAAGGATTTTTAAATCGGGGGAAACCTACTACTTTGAAGAGAGTGAGAGCATAAAGATATCTTTATTCTTCTCTAAACTCCTTTAAAACATCTTTGGTACTGTCAATTGTGACTTGAGTTCCTGATGGGGTTATCATTACCTAAAGAGATATGAGACCATTTTTTGTTATGATTACTTAATAAATTAACTTAGTTAAGTTATAGATGATAGTCATTACCTGATAATTTTCTTTGCCTGACTGAATGTCTTCTGTTTAATAGTTTGAAATAATTACTATTTTTAGTGTTTGGAAAGCACTGGGTTCTAGTTCTGGTTTTTCCACTGAGCAGCTGTCTCAACTTGGACAGATCACCTACCATTTCTGAATTTAATTGTGTGCAAAGTGGAATACCTACCTCAAGATTGTCCTGTAAGGTACATGAAATGATACATGTGAAATTCTTTGTGAATTATAAAGGGCATTATAAACATCAGTTGTAACAATTTCATTTCTTTTATTAGCTAGGTTCTGCGGAAAATATTCTCTTAAAAATTATACTTTCATCAAGAATGAAAAAGACTTTAATTGTAGGTTAAAATACTCAAACACATATCATGTGACATAATCCCTTTCCTATAACAGGTGATTCATACACTGAAACGAGACAGAATGTAGCATTTTCAGCTTTGGAAGACACTAAATGTTTAGATTCTCAAACTATTCTTTGTTCATATATCTGTGAATCTCTATATACGTATTTTTAAGATTTTTTTCCTAAATCGAGAGTTGGTGGGAATTATGATATTGACAAGTCTCACATATGTGAGTTTACTTTGAATAGAATTAGAGAGTGAGCTCACCATTCTGTTAACTTCTGAAGTAATATGATAGCATCTTGTTAGTCTTAAGGACTATGCCATATTAAGCATATAATTTTACCATAAGGTGTATTTGTTTTTGTTTCACAAAATACCATTTTTTTGGAGAAAAGGGCTATAAACTTATGTCAACAAAAAATAGTATATGTTGAGGAATTTAAAAGTCACTTTCACCTTTTAGTCCCAGGGGCATTATATGTCATTGTTATCCTAAAATGACATCTAACAGTAGGTTATGTTACATGGAAAAAAAATGTGCCTTTTAGTAATTTATTAGGCATTTTCACTAATTTGTGTATTTTATTTTTATTTTTAATTTTTTGTGGTTGAGTCTTGCTGTGTTGCCCAGGCTGGTCTTGAACTCCTGGGCTTAAGTGATACTCACACCTCAGCCTCTTGGGTAGCTGGGACTACCACTGGGCTGAGCTTAATTCGTGAGTTTTGTATTTCAGAGGAAGTTGCACAATATTAGCAACATGGTTGTAAATGACTGGAAGACTTCCATCCAACCTATATGACTTAAACAAATATGCCCTTAAATACTCTAAAACACTATCTAAAAAATATTTCCAGAGAAATTCTGAAATTTTACTTGGTTATGCCCTCTAGGTAATATATTTTTTGAAAATGATTTTGATAGTCTTTCTTTCAAATTACATTGGATCTGTGTCACTGATTCTCCAAAAGATAACTGATTTCATCAAAGCCTTCCAACATTAATAATTTTTAAGGCAGTTTGAGACTGAGGTCTAAAATATTGGAATGCTGTGTCATTGTACTTAATTCCTTTCTAAAATAGGTCAGATTTTTTTTTAAAAAAGTGAATTTTTCAGATTATAAAAATAATACTCTCATTATAGAAAACACTGATTAAAATTTTTCACAATCTGTCTTATTAGAATAATTATAGAGACCTAGGAAATGCAGTGGTAGGTATATTTGTTTTCGGATATGCTGTAGTGTGAACACACAATCTTGTGATATTCTTGATTAACCATAACTATGTTTGTATTTTGGAGGAGTACTCATAATTCTTTGGTAGAGAACTGTACTCCAGTATTAATGTTCTTTTGTAGGTATATCAGATTAATTTTGAGGCTTGGTGTTCTTAAAAGATGGGGTGGGGGGAGTGGGTATTTCTTTGATTTGAAATAAAAATGTATAGCAAATTTTTAATTCCAGTTGAAGGGGTTCTTTGGCACATACTGGAATTTGGGTTTTTTGACTCATATATTTGTCAAAAAGATTCTAACCAAATGTTAATTAGGGTGAGTTGTCTTTGAAAAGTAAAGTGAACTTTTTAAAAATTGAATTTTTTTTAGTAGTGTACTTAAGTAAATTAAGTTTAGCTTAATCATATCAGTTTAGAAGATGCTGAAACTTTTTTTCTTTTTAAAAAAATAGGTTCTAAAGGAACACTTTCATTTGGTAATTTGTTTAATCAGTGCAAGTGAAATTAAGGAACAATGGATGTAGAAAATGAGCAGATACTGAATGTAAACCCTACAGGTAAGTAACATCATGGACCTTGACTTGTAAGCAAGCTTCAGGCCATTCCTTAGTTTATGAAAACATGATTGTAAAACTATCTTTAAATACTATCTTATTGATGTCATACGACAACTGGTCATATTATTTTTAAAATCAAGTTTGTGATTATTTTCATGGAAATTTACCACACATTCTATTTTTCTGCGTATCCTTTCACAGTATATATATTCTTATTCTCCACTGTTTATAATAAAAGTATATAGTACAGAATGGAGAAGAATAGGGAACTTATTAATATTCTCACATGGGCTAGTGGTTTCTACAGTATAAATTATTATGGGTATCTTTGCTATCTTTCCTAATTTATATATTTTAAATTACCTATGGTATTTTCCCTATTTCCCATGGTGCTTCAGTAGCACATTATCTTCATAAAAGTGAACATGGTTTTGTGGAATAGATGATCAATAATGTTGAGTAACTTAAGACAGCTTAAAATGTGTTTATAGCTTTAGAATAATCTCTCCAAAGAGTTAGGATTGTACAATATCTGAATATAGAGAACATGTCCTAGTGGTATATTTTTAGATAATTCTTTGCTTTATAATTTTATTGATATTAAAACTCTTTTCTGTAATTTTAAATTTGTTTCATAAATGCTACAGCTTTATTTCTTCAGTGATTTTTTTTTTTTTTTTTTTTGAGACAGAGTCTTACTTTGTTGCCTAGGCTAGAGTGAGTGCCGTGGCGTCAGCCTAGCTCACAGCAACCTCAAACTCCTGGGCTCAAGCAATCCTTCTGCCTCAGCCTCCTGAGTAGCTGGGACTACAGGCATGCGCCACCATGCCCAGCTAATTTTTTCTATATATATTAGTTGGCCAATTAATTTCTTTCTATTTATATAGTAGAGACAGGGTCTCGCTCTTGCTCAGGCTGGTTTCGAACTCCTGACCTCGAGCAATCTGACCGCCTCGGCCTCCCAGAGAGCTAGGATTACAGGTGTGAGCCACCTCGCCCGGCCTCTTCAGTGATTTTAATTCACTATTGTGTACAACATACAGTTTTCTTTGAACAAACACTTTTAAGGTTGAAACTTTGCCATTTTTCTATTTACAGACCTTCTGATGCTAGAAAATCATATATTTTTCAACTATTATAATAACTGCAACATAATTATTTCTGAGTGCTATATATACAATAGCTGTATGAATACATGTTTTTTAAGGGTTATAAATGGATAATTTGTCCCATCTTGAGATAGGAATGGTAATAATACACCTTAAGAATATGGCTGGGTGGCACGGTGGCTCACACTTACAATCTTAGCACTTTGAGAGGCTTGGAGTTTGAGACCAGTTTTAGGGAGACCTAGTCTCTATAAAAAATATAAAACTTAGCCAGGGGTGGTGGTGTGCACCTGTATGCCCAGCTGCTCAGGAGGCTGAGGCAAGAGGATCACTTGAGCCCAGGTGTTTGAGGCTGTCGTGAGCTATGATGATGCCACTGCATTTAAGCCTTGACAACAGAGTGAGACCTTATCTCCCAAAACAACAAAAATAATACATTTTACATGTAGATAATTGCTGCTTTTATGTGCTGTCCAGTGTAACAGTAATCACTAGTCATGTGTAGTTGTTAAGTGAAATGTGGCTAGTTTGAATTGAAATGAAGATGAAATACCTCAGCTTTTTATATGGATTGTATGTTCAAATGATATTATGGTTATATTAGATTAAATATGTTAAAATTAATTTTACCTGTTTTGTTTTACTTTTTAACATAGTACTGGAAAATTTAAAATTTCACCTGGCCCATGTTTTATTTCTGTTAGATAGCACAGCTCTAAGATTTATGCTTTTGTTTTCTGACTGCATTTAAGACCTAGTTCTAACCCTGTTCTTGATGCCTCTGCCCTGTACTGTATTAAGATAAAAAACTGTTCTTCAGTATTTGGATAGGCCTAAAACAAGACCCTCTTTGCAATGAATTCTTCCTATAGCAAATAGTTTAAGTCAGGCCAACTAGTATTCTAATTTTAGCTTCTCCCTTTTCCAGCTTTGCTACTTTGAGGAAGTAGGTTATTTACTCTGACCTTCATTGTTTCCTCATTTGTAAAATTAGAGTACAAATATCCTCTGTATAAACTTATTATAAAATATTATGATGCATATGTGTCAAGCCTGTGAAGCATATTGGGTATATAATACATGAAAATGTGCTAATATTGTTATTTGAATTATACCACACTGGACATCAGTAATTGAAAATGTGATTGTTGGGTACTGTGGTCATATAAATTGTTAGTGGATACTATTGAGATGTCAGAGAATTCAGAGAGAAGGAATTTAGTACACAGTAAAAAATAATTTTGAAGTCACTATATTCTGTGTTCAGGTTTTCTTTATCCTTTTAATTTTGATTTTCTCAAAGTCAGATCAGTAGTGGTTATGGAATTACAAAACTTCGGTGAATATGAATAGCAAAATATAAAAAAGCAATTGATATAAACAGGTTAAAAATGTTAAGGTCAGGCCGGGCGCGGTGGCTCACGCCTGTAATCCTAGCTCTCTGGGAGGCCGAGGCGGGCGGATTGCTCGAGGTCGGGAGTTCAAAACCAGCCTGAGCAAGAGCGAGACCCCGTCTCTACTATAAATAGAAAGAAACTAATTGGCCAACTAATATATATAGAAAAAATTAGCCGGGCATGGTGGCGCATGCCTGTAGTCCCAGCTACTCAGGAGGCTGAGGCAGGAGGATCACTTGAGCCCAGGAGTTTGAGGCTGTCGTGAGCTATGATGATGCCACTGCATTCTAGCCCCAGGAAACAGAGCGAGACTCTGTCTCAAAAAAAAACACAGTGTCACATCATTATTTACTCCATGTTTACTATTCTTGCCTTTTTCCAGTTAGCTTGTGACTGAATTACTGCAGCATTTTCTTAGCTGTTCTCCCACTTTATACTTTTTCTTTTGTTTGATACATTCTGTATTCCTCTGCCAAACTAATCCCCCATTTCCTACTTGTGATATCAAATGTGACTACTTGGGTGTGGGAGTGTTCAGCAGTGATTCTGGTGAAGTAAGCAGGCACAAGATCATAAAGGACCCTAAGTTATAAGGTAAGGAGTTTACACTTCATTTTGGCATAATGAGAATATCTTTAAAGGGTTTTCAGTGAGGACACCATTTAGAAAATCAGTCTCCATTTGATTTGGAGAATAGTTTGAAGACTGAAGGCAGGGGAGACTACTTTTGAGACTAATGAGATAATTTGGCTCTACTTAATGTTTTTGTTTGTTTAAAACAAAACATTCCTAAACTTCCTAAATATAAAACATTCCTAAGTATAAAACTTTTAAGTATAAAATCTCCTAACTTTTATACTTTTTGTCAGAATTATAAAGATTTTTTTTGTTTTTTGAGACAGAGTCTCACTCTGTTGCCCCAACTAGAGTGCCGTGGTGTCAGCCTAGCTCACAGCAACCTCAAACTCCTGGGTTCAAGCAATCCTGCTGCCTCAGCCTCCCAAGTAGCTGGGACTACAGGCATGCGCCACTATGCCCAGCTAATTTTTTTTTTTCTATATATATTAGTTGGCCAATTAATTTTCTTTCTATTTATAGTAGAGACAGGGTCTCGCTCTTGCTCAGGCTGGTTTCGAACTCCTGACCATGAGCAATCCACCGGCCTCGGCCTCCCAGAGTGCTAGGATTACAGGCGTGAGCCACCGCGCCTGGCCTGAAAAAACTTTTAACTTTTTTCTCTCTTCTTTATCCCAAATCTGTTCTGCTTAAAAGCCCCTTGTCTTTATCTTTAAAAGTGTCACATTAGGCTGGGTGCGGTGGCTCACACCTGTAATCCTAGCATTCTGGGAGGCCAAGGCCGGGAGATCGTTTGAGCTCAGAAGTTCGATACCAGCCTGAGCAAGAGTGAGATGCCATCTCTACTAAAAATAGAAAGAAATTGGCTTGACAGCTAAAAATAGAAAATATTACCCGGGCATGGTGGCACATACCTGTAGTCCCAACTACTTGGGAAGCTGAGGCAGGAGGATTGCTTGAGCCCAGGAGTTAGAGGTTGCTGTGAGCTAGCTAGGCAGACGCCACGGCACTCACTCTAGCCCAGGAAACAGAGCGAGACTCTGTCTCAAAAAAAAACACAGTGTCACATCATTATTTACTCCATGTTTACTATTCTTGCCTTTTTCCAGTTAGCTTGTGACTGAATTACTGCAGCATTTTCTTAGCTGTTCTCCCACTTTATACTTTTTCTTTTGTTTGATACATTCTGTATTCCTCTGCCAAACTAATCCCCCATTTCCTACTTGTGATATCAAATGTGACTACTTGGGTGTGGGAGTGTTCAGCAGTGATTCTGGTGAAGTAAGCAGGCACAAGATCATAAAGGACCCTAAGTTATAAGGTAAGGAGTTTACACTTCATTTTGGCATAATGAGAATATCTTTAAAGGGTTTTCAGTGAGGACACCATTTAGAAAATCAGTCTCCATTTGATTTGGAGAATAGTTTGAAGACTGAAGGCAGGGGAGACTACTTTTGAGACTAATGAGATAATTTGGCTCTACTTAATGTTTTTGTTTGTTTAAAACAAAACATTCCTAAACTTCCTAAATATAAAACATTCCTAAGTATAAAACTTTTAAGTATAAAATCTCCTAACTTTTATACTTTTTGTCAGAATTATAAAGATTTTTTTTGTTTTTTGAGACAGAATCTCACTCTATTGCCCATTCATTTAACTCATCACAGAAATACCTTTTATTTCTTTTTATATAGTAGTCTTTCTTTTCGAACTAAGTCATAAGCCTCAAAGAAGAAACCATGACTAGTGTATTTCTTTGTATCCCCAGCACTTAACAAACGGTATGTGAGCATTAGTGTTACTGTGCTTAGAGTTGTTAGGGAGGTTTTCATAGAGGGATTAAGACTTGGGTTGTATCCTAAAGGATTTTGATAACCACACGAGCAGCAAGGATGACATTCTAAATAGGGGGACCATTAGGAAATCCAGATATGTTGATCTCTTTTAGGGGTTAATATACCAATGTTAAATAGGCTGGAAAAGATTTTCAGAAAGTGATAAATAATATGAGTCAAGTTTGGGGAGATGAATTAGAACTTTGAGATGATAGCTTTTCTTGAAAGTAAAATTTATTTTGAAGGCAGGGAAGCATCAGCAGTTCAGCTCAAGAAACATATGTGAGATCACCTATTTGCCAAATACCTTTCAGGCTCTTTTGGATTACTAATATTTCCCAAGTATTTATAATTGATCATGGGATGTTTGGCAAGTCATTTAAATACTCTAGGTCTTAGTTTCCTTATCTGTATACATGTTATTAAATATAATAATTAACTTCCGTACTTGTAGGTAAAGGATGAAGTGTCCAGCACAGTGATTGATAAATAATAGCAGGCATTCTGTAAATACTAGTTTATCTCTTCAAGATCCTTTATCTTTTCTTAATATCTCCAATTGCTTAACTCTCTTAGCTCACAAAGATCAAAAGGTTTTATTTGGTCTTGATATTAACATAGATTTTATGATCTAAACAATATAATGACATGGTTCTTTCAGTAAACTTTGTTCATTAATACTCATTCCTTGGTTTACTTTCCTTGATAATGTAAAAAGTGATCCTATTTAGTTACCATTTATTAGACTGAACTCTATGAAATTGCCAATACGTGACTGTTATTGACCTACAAAAATGATAAATTCATTTGTGATTAAACCTAATGTAGCTTATGACTATACCCATATAATAGTAGATACTTAGAATTTTCTTTAATTTTCTCTTTAAGATCCTGATAATTTAAGTGACTCTCTCTTTTCTGGTGATGAAGAAAATGCTGGGACTGAGGAAATAAAGAATGAAATAAATGGAAATTGGATTTCAGCATCCTCCATTAATGAAGCTAAAATTAATGCCAAGGCAAAAAGGCGACTACGGAAAAACTCATCCCGAGACTCTGGCAGAGGTGATTCAGTCAGTGATAATGGAAGTGAAGCCCTTAGAAGTGGAGTAACTGTGCCAACCAGTCCTAAGGGAAGGTTGCTAGATAGGCGATCCAGATCTGGGAAAGGAAGGGGACTACCAAAGAAAGGTTGGTATTTACCATGCCCAAAAAATCTGAAAAAAACAAGTTGAAACAAATGTGGAAAACATTGTCTTGTTTTTGTACTACAATTTCCTTGTTCTAGGAATGATAGAAATTTAAACAGTGATAATATAAGGTTTTGCAGTTTATGTTTTTACTTAGTAATAATTTGAGGATGATCCGACTTTTTCTTTAGGTTGATCCTTTTTTGTTTGAGTAGATTTAGTTTTCTTGAACAGAACTTACTTTTTTGCCTCTAGCAAAATATACACTGATGGTTTTCACAGTTATGAATTGTGCATGTACTCCCTACCTTTTTTTGAAAGTAGTCAGAAATTTATCATACTTTTTATCTAATGAGTCTGATTATATCCATTGTTAAGAATAATAAATATACATTTGATTGGTAATGTCTGGATCAGAATTTTAATTTTTTCATAGAGCTGGTCCCTTGTTTCTCTAGCTTTATTTATTTTGGGTTCTGGAATGGATTGGTCTGTTTCACAGCTTTATCTCCACCTTGAAGTAGTGACTAGCACTTGGTAGACACTTAAATATTTGTTGAATGAGGCGTTGCTCAGCTTCTGTTTGTAGTAGGATTTTGATACAATTTGGAGATTTCACCAGCTTCTGAATGGTGGGAACTTCAATTTATAGCCTAGGCTTCTTGTGAAATGATTTTGTGATCTACCAGAAATTATTTTTGTTGAATGGCTCTACAATCATTGTTTGTATCAAAATGGAACCTAGTTACTAGGTTTTGTTTTGGTTTGATGGCAAGGATTATACCTTAGGTACAAAATAAGAACTTCCAAAAAAAGAAATGTTCATGACATTGTAAGGGTTCTTTAAAAAATAATATATTGGTCTTTATTAAAACATTTCAGTAACATTATGTAGAAAAGCAGCTTTGAAATTTGGAATTGTTAAACCTCTGTTCGTTGGTTTATACATAGAAGTAGAAAGAATGTTCAGTGCTGTTAATGCTTAAAAGCAGTTATTTGGGACATATTACAAGTTGTAAAGTATAGTTTAATGTGTAGTTTTATATCTAAAGACTACTGTATTTGACTTGAAAATATTTGAGGATGGTCATTGTGTTTCTTTATTAAATATTAATGATTTTTCCCTTGTTGAATATTTTTCTTTTTTTTTTTTTTTTTAAAGACAGGGTCTCACTCTGTTGTCCAGGCTGGAGTGCAGTGGCTTAATTATAGCTCACTGCAGTCTCAAACTCCTGGGCTCAGGAGATCCTCCTGCTTCAGCTTCTGTAGTAGCTAGAAGTATAAGAATGTGTCACTGTGCCTGGCTGACGTCTTAATCTTTTGTAAAGACAGGAGCTTGCTATGTTGCCTAGGATGGTCTAGAACTCCTGGCCTTAAGTGATCCTCCTGCCTTAGCCTCCTGAGACACATGATTACAGGTGTGAGCGACCATGCCCAGCCCCTTTGTTGAGTTTTCTGTGTACATTTTACTGGCTCAACATGTTTCTTTTTGTTTTGGTCCCAAGAAATGTCAGGTAAAATTTCCATCTCAGCTGCAATATCATCTCTGTCGAGGTCCTCGATACAGCTATTTTTTGTCGTTTTTATTCATTTTTACTTTTATTTTAAAGCATCTGCCTTTTTGGGTTTTAACTTTATGAGCTATTTGAAATTAAGGTTTTGGAAATAGATTATAAAATGTACACAGTCTAATCATTATTGAAAAAATGGTCTGAATAAAAAGGAAACTGCTGGGGGAAAAATGGAAAAAAGCAAGCATAGAAGTTAATGTACTTTTTTTTAGCTGTTTAACATATGAATACTTAAAATTATTTCAGATTTCAAATAAAATTTATGAACTTTATGCTCTTTCTCAATTCTAAACTTTTTCAGGTGGTGCAGGAGGCAAAGGCGTTTGGGGTACACCTGGACAGGTGTATGATGTAGAGGAGGTGGATGTGAAAGATCCTAACTACGATGATGACCAGGTATCAATGTTTATTTTTTTTTTCATATTTATTCACATAAACTTTTTTGACTTCATGTTTGTAATTTACTCATACTTTTGTCAAATTAGATGTGTATATATTTATACTCTTTGGCTACCAAATTACATATATATACACACAATATTGATCAAAATCATATATATTCTTTATTTTTAGATTGTAAAGTTCATTTTGGATTAGGAAACAAAAGTTAACTCATAATAATATATGCATAATTTTCTCTTGGTGTCTGAAGTGAGTCAAAAGTTGGTCTTTTAGCCCAGTATGGGGGCACGCGCCTGTAGTCCCAGCTACTGAGGAGGTTGAGGCAGGAGGATCCCTTGAGCTTGAGGTGAGCTATGGTGATGCCCCTGCATTCTAGCTGGGGTGACAGAGTGAGACCCTATCTCTAAAAAAAAAAGTAGGTCTTTACAAATTCACTTAGTATTATTAAGTTGACCATTTTTCAATAAATTCTGTTGAGTTAATATCTTCTTTTGAATATCATAAGAGTCAATAGATATTAGTTTTCTTTTTAATATACTTTCTAGAATGGCACCTATGTGATAAATATTGTTTTTGGGGACATGTGTGTCTTTTTTCTAGAGATAATTAGGAGATACATTTCTAATAGATTTTGCAGTGAATTTCTAATATTTTTTAATGCAAATTTAAAAGTAGAGAAAATAGTATAATTAACATACTTGTTTGTATTCATTTCCCAGGATTACCAACTTTAATTATTAATTCACAGACAGTCTTGTTTCATTCTATACATCCATTTACTCTCCCTCTATTGTTGCCTCCACAGTCCCACCATGTTTTGGATTATTTTGAAGCAAATTACAGATATTATGACGTTTTTAAAAAAAATATTATCTTTGCAACAGATAGGACATGATGAGAATTATAGGAGAATATCAGGGTATATGTTAGGTTGTTTTCATTGTGTATTGTTTGTGTATACATATTTACCTATTTTAACTAATAGTTGGACATGGAAATATTTCTAAGAGAATATGAAAAAAATTAAAACCAGTAGGATTCAAATACTGTAGAATCTTTACTAAAAATTTTGGTTTTTTGGGTGTATATTGTTAGATTGAAGCCTGTCACAAGTTACAAATATATAGTAGTCACCCTTTATTCCTGGTTTCACTTTCTGAGGTTTCAGTTACCTGCAGTCAACTGCATTTCAAAAATATTAAATGTATGATTCCAGAAATAATTCATAAATTTTAAATTGTGTGCCATTCTGAATAATGTGATGAAATCTCTCAGTGTCCACCTTTGTACCACCCCATCCTGCTCAGGATGTGAACCATCCCTCTGTCCAGCATATCCACACTGTATATGTTGGTCACTCAGTCACTTAGTAGCTTTTTTAGTTATCAGATTGAAAAACAATACATACAGGGATTGATACTATCTTTGGTTTCAGGCATCCACTGAGGGTCTTGGAACATATCCCCTATGGATAAGGGGATAATCATATCAGAGCTTTTTTGTAGGGGAGAAAAGGATGGTCTAGTGATGGACATTAATCTCTTTTTGAAATTTTAGTTGAGCAGCGCTTTTCCTTAGAAATTTTTCAGTCACTACAACATTAATCTTTGTTATACTTTTATTATAGTAATCATGAAGGCTTTGGTTCCTGCTTTCCTTTTTTTTTTTTTAAAGTGAAATTTTAATGAAAATGCCATATATGATAGGAAGAAGCCATTATAAAGCTTTTGGTCACTGAAGATTGGTTTTGAGAGAGATATAAAAAATTAACAGGATACAGGGGTTGGGAGCAAGTCATATTTTGCTGTCGTTAGTGGTTCTAATCTGTATATTGGCTTATTGTATTCAGATTTTGTAAAAGAGCAGTGACATGTATTCTACTTTTATATGTGGTTAAAGCATGTAGCATGTCTTTATCGTGCTCTTAATGAGGATTATTAACCAGTCAAATATAAAATTATACAGCAATTTCTGTTTATTTGAATTTTGTTCTTTGTAACTCATTCTCCGTCTTCCCCTCATAGGAAAACTGTGTTTATGAAACTGTAGTTTTGCCTTTGGATGAAAGAGCATTTGAGAAGACTTTAACACCAATCATACAGGAATATTTTGAGCACGGAGATACTAATGAAGTTGCGGTAAGTTTAAAGTATAATTTAATTTATATAAGAGAGAAAAGACTGTTTAAGCAAAATATAGTTAGAGTGATCTTGGATCACTGAGTAAGTTTACACATTTTCTTTTGCATAAACAAATTTCTAAGTAAGAAATGTAATACAATCTCATTACATTAAACCAGTTCTTATATATTTGGGATCTGATGAGTGCTGTGGGTCATTTCCTTACATGAAAAATGGCACAATATTTTTATAAATCAACTTTTATAATTATAATATATGAATTTATAACATCTACTTTTGTAATGCATAAAATATAATTTTAGCAATTTTGGGGTATTTATGGACCCTCTGAAACCTCTTCAAGGAACTCAGTTAAGAATATCTGACTTAGTTTTGTGTTTTTTTTATGGTCATTCCAATGATCAGGATTAGGATAAAATTAATCTTTGTACAAAAAACCCCCCACTGATATAAAGATTTGAAAAAGAATGCATACAGAAACCAAGAGAATTGTTTTTGAAGTAAATTTGTATGCAAATATTTACTGTGTTAATTATGAATTGTTCATAAAGTAAATCTAGAAGGGTGAAATTAAATTACTGGCCTAGTTATGATTACTGGGTTAAAGTAAAACAGTTGTAGCTCTTCAGGAAACCTGTAGATTTTCAAAATTCAGACTGGACAGTCTTGATTTGTCAGATACTGTGAAGTTTATCTTTGGATTTGTAAGATTTGAGTATAAAACAGATATTTGTAGATTGCATACCATGTGGAAGAATTTGTGATAGGTGGTTCCTGCCCTTTTGAAGCTCAGTTAAGTGAAGGAAATGATATGTAAACAGATTATTAAACTATGTGAAACACTCTTATGGAGGAAAAGTTTAAATCCTATGAGGGCAGAGACTGTTGAAATCTGGGTATCTATTTAGCTTAGGACCAATTGTATATTATGTATCTATTAACTGAGTAGTGGTATGAGCAGAGTGTTATGGAAGCATAAAATGGAGAGCAATAGCAGAAGTGATTTGGAGCCATCTGAAGGATGGTTAGGAGTTTGCTAGTTCAAATGGTTGAAGAGGCTTATCCAGGAAAGAGGAATACCATGTCTGAAGGCAACGAGTTAAAGTGTGGTCAAGGAAGATGAAATGGAGTTGGAAGAGACTACTAACAAGGACACCAGTTAGGTGGCTGTGAAAATAGTTGTGGCACTCTCATAGTAGTAGACCATGATTTAAAGAGTTTAAGAAAACTTTCATTAAAGAGGAAGGCACTCTGAGTAACTGAGTTATAGTTTAGCCTCTAGGGTTAGATTGCCTGTACTCCACTTTTAGCTGGGCTACTCCAGCTGTATGCCCTCAGCCATTACTTAATTTTTCTGTGTTTTGGGCTTGATAAGTATGATAATTTAATACACAAAGGGTTATTTTGAGTATAAAATATAAAGTGGCTGTTATATAATAATGCCTGATACATTATAATTGGTCAATAAGCATTAGCTGCTGCTATTATATTTTTAATAGGAAATTTTAACTTTATCCCAGCATTTAAAACAAATAATCCCATTTAAAAACAGTGGTTGAAGGTCGCATTTTAACCCTTTGCACTCGCTTTTTTCTCGATTCCTTTATTCTACTCGGGATTTAATTTTTTAAATACCCCAGGTTTTACAAAGCGTGGCAGTAGAATAAAAAGCTGGAGTTTCTTTTCATATAAACTTATTTATTTGGATTTTTTTATATTTCAAATTATTGATACATTCAAAGAGTAATTTTAATCTATAATTTTTCATTGTGTGATATTTTTTGAAACATTCACCCACATGAAGACCTGGTTTACATTCACACATTTCGCAAATATAAATCATCTTTCTTCTTCCTCCTTTGATTTTTTCTGTTAGAACAAACAACATAATCTTTGTGTTTTTTGTTAGGGTGAGGTGTGATTATATGGAGCTTTCCATCTAAACGTTGCTCTAAGTTAGTCGATAATAATCTACCCCTGGAAGTTAGCGTACCATCTCTGCATTTACATTTTACTTGTCGTTTCATGCTAATGAAAACAAGAAAAGATACTGGAAAAATAGACAAAAATCCTCCTTCCCCCCGCATGAAACTACGTGTCAAGTGTGGCTTGATATACGAGCTGCTACCGATGCTGACCGTGTCAAGTCACACTTGACATCTGAGTGCAAAGGGTTAAACTTTACATGAATAATATAAAGTAAATTTTTGTTTGAGGAGAAAGCTTTGAATAAAAGAGTATAAACAACTTCAGATAACGTAAAATGAATTTCTCTATAAATGCTCATAAAACAATATTCCTAGAAATAATAGATAGTAAAGGAGAGTTAGCTGCTAACTAACTCTGGGTTAGTAATATGTAGCTTAATGAACTACAGTCATGAGCTACATAACAACGTTATGGTCAAGGATGGACTGCAGCTATGACTATGGTCCCATGAGATAATAATAACCATATTTTACTGCACGTTTTCTATGTTTAGATATATTTAGGTACACAGATACTTACCATTATGTTACAGTTGCCTACGATATTCAGTACAGTAACACGCTGTACAGGTTTGTAGCCTAGGTGCAGTAGGATATACCATATAGCCTAAGTGTGCAGTAGGCTATACCATCTAGATTTGCATAAGTACACTCTGATATTCGCACAATGAGGGAATTGCCTAAATGACAAGTTTTTCAGAGTATATCCATGTCATTAAGTGATGTATGACTGTTTTCAATGTAATTCACATTCTTGAACTTAGTGATGTTCAAGTAGTTAAAGCTTGACAAAGTGGAGCAATATCTAATTTATATGCAGAAAAAGGTGTATTTATCCTATATCCCAAAATATGACTGCATCTCTGATTATTTCCAAAGAGGGAGAGGTAAAGATAGATGTAGATAAAAGTTTGGTTTTTCAAAAGTAAAATTTTCTTAAACTACAAGTTGTCACATACTTAAAAAATTTTTTTAAATCATTTTATTTTTTTGAATAGGAAATGCTGAGAGATTTAAATCTTGGTGAAATGAAAAGTGGAGTACCAGTGTTGGCAGTGTCCTTAGCATTGGAGGGGAAGGCTAGTCATAGAGAAATGACATCTAAGCTTCTTTCTGACCTTTGTGGGACAGTAATGAGCACAAATGATGTGGAAAAATCATTTGATAAATTGTTGAAAGATCTACCTGAATTAGCATTGGATACTCCTAGAGCACCACAGGTTTGTATGAGTAGTCTTTTTGTTCATTTCCCCATCTCCTATCCTACATTCCTCCCAGTTACACTCTCAATTATAGAAATAATACACGCTTTTAGGAAATTTTAGTAGATGAAAGGGAAATGGCGCACATTTCCCATTAGACAAAAATAGCCAACATTTTGTTGTATATTTTCCTAGCTGCTGTTCTTGTTTTTTACAGTCTTCATCGTATTATAAATTTGGTTTTATAGCCTACTTTCCCCCCCATGCTTTGTGTAGTTTTTAGGTTTTTATATATATATATATATATATATATATATATATATATTCACTATTATATGTAATTAAGCTGTTTTATTAGCTAAGATTTTTTTTTAAAGTAGGGTAAATAGTCATAAATAAGACTTTCCCTGTGTAGCTTTGAAAATGTGAAATTGTTATTATTCAAATATCAAAGTTAGTATCTTTCACTATGGCCACAAAGTGTATCCTCTTATGTATGTACCTCTTAAAGAAATCTTATTATTGGGCACTGATGTTGTTAGTACTGTGAATATACTTTCAAATAAATATTTCTACACAGTGTTTTTCTCCATAAGATAAATTTATTTAACTGTCCTTCCATGGACAGTTTTTTTTTTTTTTTAAAAAACGTAGTCCATGGTCTTTTTTTTTATAAAAGGGACTTCACCTGACCTTAAGTCATTCATTTAAACAAATACTTTTGATCATGTACTATGTATCAGGCAGTGTGCAAGGTGTTGAGGATTCAATGGGGAGCAAAACAGATGTGGGCCCCACTCTGATGGCACTTAACTTGAAGGTTAAAAGATGGGAGTGTATGCCAGGTATAACTAACAACTACTAATTGGTGTTTTTTGGATATTCCAGCATTTTATAGGTATTGACTATGTAGTTCAGCCAGTCTTCATAATTTATACATTTAGAAATTGTGTCCTATAAAAGTTTATTTTAGGTTTTTTTATGTAGGTCTCTTTTTTTCCTATTACAGTTGGTGGGCCAATTTATTGCTAGAGCTGTTGGAGATGGAATTTTATGTAATACTTACATTGATAGTTACAAAGGAACTGTAGATTGTGTACAGGCTAGGTAAGTAAATTAATTTTCCTATTTAGAATTTCATAATGGGGGAATTTCTGGAGGAGGCTATTGAAATGACATTTGCATTAATCAGACATTGTGGACATCTATTTATGACTTGTCTGTATCTCCACTGTTAAAATGGGGAGATTGTTGGCGGTATATAATGGGGAGGACAGTACTATAACGTAGAAGTTCTGAGTTATAGCTAACCCATTAATTACCTTCATGTCAAGCCATTCTTGTCTAGGTCTCAGTTTCCTTATTATAAAATGAAAGCATTGGGTATAGTATATTCTTTAAAGTCCCTTGAGGTTCTAACATTCTGCAGTTATTTAATAGTCTAATAAGATGGACAAGATTAACAGAGGAGCCTGATTTACAATTTTATTTTGTATTTATCTACTGTAGAAATATTTTAGAAAATGTCTTTCTCACTCTTGTTCTTTGATAAAATTAATTGTAAGCTAAAAGGTGATATTTGGGAGTTATGCTATATGATTTTTCTTAACTTCCTGGAGACTTAGACGTGGACTTAGCACGTTTTAGGTTTTCTCAGGTCTGGATATTAACTTAGTTTTCTACGGCTAATTCAGGTCATAGTGGAGTAGTCTCCCTGGGTGGGAAGGCATGGATGTAGGTAAAGTTATATGTGACATGTTCTTTCTCACTGTAGATCAGTTATTTTTAATATATTTTGATTTTTCTTGAATGAGATATGGAAGTAATAGAGCATGAGAATATTAACATGAGAATCAACTTTTTTTGCTCCCTATGTTTTATTGTGAAAAAGGGTTTTTAAAGTTTTGAATTTTATATTGCTTTTGTTATATGAAAGATTTTAGTGCATATGGGATTTTGTCAACTTTATCCATAATTTGATAAACTTCAGGCATGTTCATGTACCAAAATTGAATTTGTTTTTTTTGTAGAGCTGCTCTGGATAAGGCTACCGTGCTCCTGAGTATGTCTAAAGGTGGAAAGCGTAAAGATAGCGTGTGGGGCTCTGGAGGTGGGCAGCAATCTGTCAATCACCTTGTTAAAGAGGTAATGATTAGGTATTATTTTTAACTTAATTTGTATTTTTCCTCTGAGAGAAATAAACTGTGCTACTAGCTGGTATTTTTGTGGACAAAAGTAAGTTCAGTCTTGTAGCTGCAAATGGAAAATTGAATAATCCTTTTATATTTGGCTTTATACCATTTTACTCTAAATTATATGATAATTATATAATTGTTACTAAATTTTTACTGTTTCCACAACTTAAAAATGAGGTTGTGTTGTCTTGAATAATTATTAATATAAGAAGGCTATGAATGAACTTCAGAGGAATGCCTGAAATCTTTTTCTATTAGTATTTAAAATTTTTTAAATGCTATAGAAATGAGATTTTCCCATTTTGTAGTTATTAAATAAATATCTGTTACTATATGAGCAATTTGAAACTGGACAGTCTCAGATCATAAGTTATAAATTATGAGCACTAGAGTTAGATCAGCATGGTACATTTTTTTGAGGAAGTCCACTACCTATATACATGCTTTAAAAGAAAAAAATGCCAGATATATTCCGTGTGGATTTTTTTCTGGCTGTAATGTGGTTTTCTATAGCAAGAAACCAAAGAATTATTTAATCTCCTTATCTGCAGATCTTTAAGAAAAGGCATGTAATTAGAAGATTTATAGTTCTTGTGCTTCTGATTTTTTATTATAATCTTTTCATGTGACTATAATTTTTATTTTTGGTCTTTGAGCTCTAAGGAGCTCAAAATATAGTTTTAGCCTTGACTATTTTTGTTTTCATATATATTAAAATAGATGAGTCAGTATTTGTAATGTCATGATTGCTATATCTGTTCTTAAAAACTTATTAGAAAAATTGAAGTATAAAGATAGTCAAAATACGAGGGCAGTTAGGCAAGAAAAAGAAATAAGAGGTATCCAGATTGGAAAGGAGGAGGTGATCTATTCCCAGATGACAATGATTTCTATATAGAAAATCTGAATGAATCCACAAAATAACCCCCCTAAACCAAAACCAAACTATTAACTTGTAAAATGAATTCAGCAAGGTTGCAGATGCAAAATCGGTGTAAAAAATTTAATTCTATATCTATATGGTAGCAGTGAATGATCTGAAATGAAATTAATTGCCATTTACGAATAGCATCAAAAATAAAATACTTAGGAATAAATTTAACAAAAGAAATGCAAGTCTTGTACACTGAAAACTGCAAAGCATTGTTGAAGGAAATTAAAGATGACTTAAACAGAAAGATATTCCACGTTTATGGATTAGAAGACTTAATATTGTCAAGATGGTGTAATACTCCTCAAAATTAATATTTTGAGAAACTGCTAAACTGTTTTATGGTATGTGAATTATCCCTCAATAAAAAACAGACAAGATGAAAATTGAAATAAAACTACCAATATGAATTTTACATAGACATTATTTGGATATTCATATACATGAAAGGAAGGATTGGGTCAAAGAAGACTTTTAGAAATGTATACATGTATTTGTAATTTATCATTCTCAAAAAGTATGGAACCCATGGGGAAATGCTTTTTAAAGTTACCACAGCAAATGTTAAAACTAATACAATTTAAATAACAAATACAGTCATATGCCACATTAACAATTTTTGGTTAACAACAATGGACCATGGTGGTCTTTTAAGATTATGATGGAGATTAAAAATTCCTGTTGCCTAGTGATGTAGTAGCCATTGTAATGTCATAACACAATTACTTTATTTTTTATTTTATAAATTTAGTGTAGCCTAAGCATACATTGTTTATAAAGTCTGTAATAGTGTACAGTCCCTAGGCCTTCACATTCACTCACCACTCATTGACTCACCCAGAGCAACTGCTAGTCCTTCAAGCTCAATTCATAGTTAAGATTCCTATACAGGTATACCATTTTTTACATAATTTATACCATTTTTTAGTGTACCTTTTCTATGTTTAGATATATTTAGATACACAAATACCATTGTGTTCCAATTACATATAGTATTCAGTACAGTTAACATGCTGTATAGGTTTGTAGCCTGGGAGCAGTCTATTTCAAAGGCTATACCAATCTAGGTTTGTGTAAGTATACTCTGTGATGTTCACATGACAAAATCACCTAATGCATTTTTCAGAATGTATCCCCATCATTAAATGACACATGACTGTTTATTTTATTTTATTTTTTTACCAGTATTCCAAAATTTTATTTTTTCCAAACTCACCTGAACACTGAGGGTTTTTTTTTTTAATTTCAGGAAATTGAAAGTACAAACATTTTGGTTATATTTTATATTTTTGCCTCTCCCTAGCAAGGGTTAGAGGCATGCCCTTCCCCTCTACAATGCTCAGTGTCCTTTAGTTGTGAGTTTACTCCCCCAACCCTCTAATCCCTGGAAAATATTACTACCATTTGAGCACCATAGTGTTAGTACCAATTTGATGGTGAGTACATGTGGAGCCTATTCTTCCGATCTTGTGTTACCTCACTTTGGATAATGGGCTCAAGCTCAATCCAGGAAAATATAAGCGGTGTTAGATCACTGTCGTTTCTTGTAATTGAGTAATATACATGGCTGTTTATTAATTTGTAATTATAAAAATATTTAAGTATTTATTTTCCTAAAGCATGATAATAGGAATTATTCATCAAGACATATTCTAGCAATTAAATTTTCTTTTACCTTTTATGAAAATACACTTTAGAAGTTGGAAGTAGAAGATACTTAAATAGATTATTTTATTCAGTCTGTCAGTACTCACTGAGTGCCACTTAGATGCAAAGGTGATTTAAGAGGCAATATATAGGGAAGAACATTTCTAGTTAAAGCTCTTTGCTGCAAAACTTTTCCTACTTTTTCTCTAGAGCCAAAGATATTATTATATAAGTTTGAGCAGGGAAGTCAAGACTTGTCTTTTTAGCTGCAACTGGAAGATGAATATTGATGAACATTTTAGATGATGGGTTTCAAATCCTCAGTTGTAGAGAAAAGAGAAACTATATGAAAGTCTCTGCCCTGTCCAGTAATGCCCCATTATCATCTCTCATTTTTTTTTCCTTTGGCTTCTAGTGTACTTAACTATTCAGATCATCCTGATAGAAGTGAAATAGTTTATGCTGCTTTAAAAATTCATATTGAGACTTTGAGTTAGGGGCCCTCTAGTGGTATTTATAATCCTTTGTTTTCAATCATCATGGTCATAACCCAGGCCACAGACATTATAAACCTACTCTTAGATTTCAGTGATTATTCAGGCACACTGAAGTGTTGTATTTGCTTCATAATTATGGACCATTTAAAATTGAGAATTTATTTTTTAACTATGAAAAAAATGTTATAGTACATGTCAAGTCTATATGTTCTTAGACAGCTGTTTGTGATCTGCTGTTTCATCATTGTAATATATTGACATGAGGATAAATAATCCTTTAGGCAAGCAAAGTTTTTTTAAAAATCAGGAATTCTAACACATCTCAACTTTTAAATCTAATAGATTGATATGCTGCTGAAAGAATATTTACTGTCTGGAGACATATCTGAAGCTGAACATTGCCTTAAGGAACTGGAAGTACCTCATTTTCACCATGAGCTTGTATATGAAGTAAGATTACCTTGCCATACCAAAGAGAATTATTAAATGTTCGTTTTTGTACCACAGTGACTTAATGCTTCTTTAATAACAAATACATGTTTTTCTTGTTAAAAATATTAAGGAAGAAAGTGGTTTTTAAATTTTCATTATTATAAAATCATATAGTAATTACAAATTAGAGAAAAGGCATCTGGCACATTTTAGGAGCAGTTTTTCATCTGAATTAATGACCAAAATTCATTCATTCAATTTTTAGGCTATTGTAATGGTTTTAGAATCAACTGGAGAAAATACATTCAAGATGATTTTGGATTTATTAAAATCCCTTTGGAAGTCTTCTACCATTACTATAGACCAAATGAAAAGAGTAAGTATAACATTATTTTGAACAACTTTTAGGCTAATATATAATTGAATAAAGAATGACAGTTTAAGTTTAACATTATGCCTATACATTTTGTTTTTTTAGTGGTAGTGTTTGAGGTTTGAACCTTTTGCAACCATTTCTTTGACAATAACTTCACTGGGATTTTTACCTATTTTTAAAAATGTGATTGTGTATTCTACCTCAAGAATTCAGTTTCTAATATATAATAATTTGTATTTTGTTTCTAGAGAAACCTGAACCTTTAGGAAATTATACTTTAAAGTTTTTTTCCTAGTTAAAATTGTATGTATTGTTGTTGAAGTCTTAGTGAGGTTCTTTATTTGCCTTGCATTTTTTTAAAAGGTAGTAAATGTATATAGAAAAGAAGATGAGGAAGGAATTTGCTCAACATCTGATGTCTGCCCCAGCTCTTTTGAGAGATTAGTTTCAAAGAGAACATTCTCTCACGAAGCTACTTTCTGTACTTTTCAAGGATCAAATCTAACTTCAGTTTAACCATATGAACATTGGCCTTAAACATAGATTGATGACATAGTGATGGATTGTTTTATGACATGTATTTTATATGGGCTAACAATTCTATATGTAATTTCATTGTTTTAGGGTTATGAGAGAATTTATAATGAAATTCCAGACATTAATCTGGATGTCCCACATTCATATTCTGTGCTCGAGCGATTTGTAGAAGAATGTTTTCAGGCTGGAATAATTTCCAAACAACTCAGAGATCTTTGTCCTTCAAGGTACATTATTTAAATATTACTTTCTCAATATAAAATACTGGATGAGTTGCTGGTGAAGGCTAAAATGGTTTTCTATTGTTCTAACTCTGTCAGAAAAATAATAGTATCTTTGTCATTGACAAGTAAGAAGCATCTCTTTTGCCACTTTGTAAATCTATGCAAGACTACTTCATGAAGTCCAAGTTCATTTGAAGGAAACTGATTTTGCGGAGCAGTTGTTTACTGGGCTTTGTTATAAAGTAGTTTAAATGTTATTTTAGAGTAGGTATTATCACTAATAAGATGAGCAAATTGAGACTTAGGGGGGTGTAATATACCTTTTCTAAGGTCACACAGCCAGCTGGTGAGGCCAAGTATGAATCCAGACCTTTTCTGGCTTCAAAGATCTAGCCCCTTTCCTGTACTCTGTGGCTTCCTTTGCTGCTTCACAGGAGCCAGAATTGGGGCTAATTGGATCCTATCTCACTAGAAAGTGTGTTTGTGGGTGGGTGGGTATTTCTTTTGAGGTTTTGTATTTGCACTACTAAGATGTAACTCTTAAAGAGTTGTTAAGTTTGTTGTTGTTAAATCTAATGATGAAGCTTATAATGTGTGTAAATGCTTGTTAATAGCTAAACTTATTGTGTGGATCAGTTTTATATACATATTTTGTAATTTTTTACCTGAAAAGATTTCTAAGCTTTGAGTATTAAGTGCATTGTGAGAATTAAACTTCAGGAAAGTATTTCCTGGTAGGATCCTTCACTATATAAAGTTTAGAAGCCATTAAGAGAAAAAGAATTAAAAAATGAGAGATTCAGTTTATGGCTTTACTAGAAATGTTTAGAAATGTAGACCTCAGCTTGGTGATAGCACCATTTGTGTACCGATGTGCTAAGTGGTATACAACAGAAAACATCAATTTTGGCAAGGCTTCTTGCTATTGACTGCTTCATTCTGTATCTTGGTCTCAAAATATATAGTCTGAAGCCTTTAAGTTCAAGAAAATGTAGCTGGTTTTCACCTAGCTTTAGTAAGAAAAGGGGTCAACACCCTGGCGCATTGGCTTTTAAAAAGTTTTTCAGCCTGTTTGAAAGTCTAATTATTTCTATTGTGGCTTTATTCTTAAGGGTCATTTGAGGGGATACCTAGACTTTCTGTGTATACCATACAGCTTTGAATTTTGTTGTCTAACTTTGTGTTTATTTGGGTGGAGTGCACATTGTATGGGAGCATGCTTGTGCATGTTGGTCTGGGGTCAGAGAGTAAAGGCTAATCCTGCCCAAGCTCCATTTCCCACTTACTGCTTTAGGATACTGGCCAGCTGTTCCTCCTGGGCTATTGCCACTACATGTAGCTTAGAGTGTGGTTACATTATAGAGCAGGGCTTCTTGAGTTTGAAATAATAGGATTCCTAAAATAGGGCACAGGCTGGAATTAGTTGGATTCTGATTTGTTTTTCAAATTGAAGTTGTGGTTTTTCTATAGCTGATAATTTTTAAAAAGTAGTTAAAAATGGGTATTTTGATAGGTTCCATAGCTCCAGTTTGCATGATTCTAAATTATGTTAGTGTTTCCTATTTGTCTTACTGTTTAACTTTCAAATAATAATGTGGTAGAAATAAATATTAAATTTCTCCCATCCAAGTACTAACCAGGCCCAACCCTGCTTAGCTTCTAAGATCAGATGAGATCTGGCACATTCAGAGTGTTACGGCGTAGGTGAATTTCTAAATAAGATATTTGCCTTAGTTTTACATTTAAAAATTTTTTTACATGGCTCCATTTGGATAATGAACTTACTTCAACAGTTAAGCTTTTATTGAAACAAAAACTCAGATTTGCTGTTGATTTGATGTTTTATGCTAAGATGTATAGCAGAAAAAGTCTATTTCAAAGGAATCAGAGGCATTCTTTAAAAAAAACAAAACAAAAACCACAAAAAACCCTTCAAAACTTAATGTGTAACCAGAAAACACCAAGGTTTTTTTCAGTGACTATAGTCAGAATTTGTATCTGTTTTCATACTTCTTTTGTTCTTTTTATTACAGGGGCAGAAAGCGTTTTGTAAGCGAAGGAGATGGAGGTCGTCTTAAACCAGAGAGCTACTGAATATAAGAACTCTTGCAGTCTTAGGTGTTATAAAAATATATATCTGAATTGTAAGAGTTGTTAGCACAGGTTTTTTTTTTTTTTTTTTTTTTTTTTTAAGCACTTGTTTTGGGTACAAGGCATTTCTGAAATTTTATAAACTTACATTTAAGGGGAATTTTTAAAGGAAATGTTTTCTTTTATTTGAGGGGGAAAGGAGGGACAAAGTAACCTCTTCTTATGTGGAATATTCTAATAAGCTACCTTTTGTAAGTGCCATGTTTATGACCTAATCATTCCAAGTTTTGCATTGATGTCTGACTGCCACTCCTTTCTTTCAAGGACAGTGTTTTTTGTAGTAAAATCACTGGTTTATACAAAGCTTTATTTAGGGGGTAAAGTAAAGCTGCTAAAACCCCATGTTGGCTGCTGCTGTTGAAATACTGTGCTTTGGGAGTAAAAAAAAGAAAAGTTATTTCTTTGTCTTAAAGAATTTTTAAAAAAATGAGTCAGTCATAAGACTTATTCATCTTTCCAGGGAACATATTGATTGGTCTTAAAGACTAGACAGTTAAGTAAATGGTGGCTGGAACATCTATTTTTCTACAAAACTGGAAAAATGAACCTGGTTTGAGAAGAATGTACAACAAAATAAAACATGTGAAGCAGTGTTGATTCTTTATTGGGAGTACATTTATTTTAGGTCCTCTATAAAACATTTATTTTAGGTCTTCTATAAACCTTGAATTTAAAATAGCAAATTTTAAATCATATAAGGACACATATTTGAACCTAGTGAATTTAAGCTGTGTTCCTCAAACTTTTTTTTCTTGGAAACTTACATCGAAAGTACAACAGTAAGTTACTTTAAGGTTACACTGGGGAAAAATGCATGCATACTTTACTCCCTTGTTTAGTTGATCTGATCTAGAGCTTAATGAAATTCTTAAAATATATATAGTACCTTTCATCATTCTTTAAATTCTGTTACCAAATAATGGTTAGTGTTATAAAAAGTTACTTTCCAAAGACCCCAAAGCTTTGCATTTATTCAATGTCTGAGAAAATACAATAAATAACAATTATCTAAGGAACAATCACATTTCTTACCTCTTTTACAGAAACTAATTACTCAGCAAAGCCTCAAGGTCTATGCTAACTTAAAGTGCTTATTATTGACTGCAACAAACCAACCAAGAATTATATTCTGAATTAACAAAGATATTCTTAGGAATATACCTATTATAGATTTAGGTACAGTCTTTTAGAATTAAAACTCCAAATTTAATATTCATATTAATATTTACTGATAGGCTCTTTCAAGCCCATATTACTTAGGCTTATATAGATAATTATGGTAACCATTTTTAGGTATTTAGTTTGATATCTAGATGATAAAGGTAGTCATGCAATTTATAAGTCCTTAAAATGAGTTAATTAAAAGCTAAGCTAGATACAGAATAAGTGAAGATTTCTTAAAAATCAAATTTAAGAAACAGTTTTGTCATTACTAGTAGGATCAGTTGGTTAGGCAAGATAGCACTAAACATGACATGGCACACAAAATTGGATAAAAAATTTTGTTTTAAACTGGGTAATGTAAAAAGCCCAATATAAACACTTTATGCAAGATTGGAATGGATTCTTCATATTCAGATTTTTAATAAACATGTAAAGATTCTTTACATATAAAAGCTGCATTTAGTCACTTGAGCCTAAGAATCTTTATCACAAAACTGATAGCAATAGGAATGGTGAATGATAATTTAATTTGCAATTGTAAAAACATGACTTGAGTTAAAAATCCTATAAATTCTGGTTCAAAGTTTAACTCCTTATGTTCAGTTCAAACCAGAGTGTTTAAATAAGCAATGTTTCATCATCCTTGGATATTTTTGTATTATTTATATGAATACTATCAGTTTTATTAACAAATACTACTTTTAGCATACACATAGAGATTTTCTAGTTATTGTTAAATAGTAGATAAGGTATGTTGTTCGCTAAAGTGCTAAGTTATCAATCAGTGGGTTATTTGTTCCTTTTCTGCCATTTCTTGTTGGCGAATTGTATCCTGTGCTGCTTGCTGCATTTTCTCCAGTTTTTCCAGAGTCAGAGATTTTAAGGGTAAAAGTTTGGGTTTACACAGCACCATTGTGGTTACATCTTCCACAGACAATTGCCCTAAGTTTAAAAAGAAATAAGAATTAATTCAAGGGACATAACACAGTTGTTTGGTATTTTGGATGTGCAGCTAGAATGAAGGTGTAAGAACTTATTCATTGTCAATGAAAAACTCTTGTACCTAAACTGAGTTTTGCTTTGGGACCAGAAAGACAGTTACCCCCAAAGCAACATTTCTTAATACCAGGGTGTTCTTGAGGAAGACACGTTTTGAGCTTTCTACCCAAGACTCTAAGCTACCATAAGATGACTTTTTCTGTGAAATGTTTAATTTTAAATAAGATTTGGGAGAATATATACATAGTGCATAAAAATAAAGTATGGTATTAATTTAACCTGAATATTCTAATTACTGAATTAAACCTTCAGCTTTTCTTAATATTGCTTGATTTAGGTTTTACTTTCTCCCCACTTTCAGACCATATTTAGTTATGGTAAATTCCATTATGTTATTTAATTGAAAATTTCATATTGTAATCTGCAATCTTGGGTATAACAGGATTTCTAATTATAAGACAAGATGCTTCATTTGTTGTCCTTCTACTGCAAAAAAGAAGGATCCCTCCTTTACAACCTACTGGTGAAAAAGTATATAGTAAAAGTAGACAGTAAATAAAACACAGAACAAAATAGCTACAGATATTTAGCTGTTAGGCCTGCAGTGTGACACTGCCTATCACTTTGTTGGTCCTTATAACATTCAGTGACCTAAGTATTTGTGATGTACATTACCTTGTTTTGGAAGAACTTCCCGGAACATTGACTTCACTTCTGCCATATCTTAATTACTGGATACAGTTTAAGATTTTCCTTCAATGAGAAATCAACTGTTAATATTGTTCAAGAATAAATCCACAGAAGATATTGCCTGAGACATTTCCATTGTAGTTTAAGAAGTAAAATCAATTCCTATAGAAAGTGAACTACCATGTCTTTGCATAATATTTCCATTAATTTCCTGTGATTCTTTTCATTGAAACAAGGTTGAGATAGTTTATATAAGCATCTAGATATTGTCAACTTTAATTAGTGGAGGTGTTAATTGGAAGGCTGGGTGTTCTAAATTTTTTCCCCTCCTAGTGAAAAAGTGGTAGGGTTTCAGTTTTTTAGTCAAAAACGATTAATATCAGCTAAGGAAAAAGCATTTATGTGCAGCCATTGTGGTTTACTGGTAGCATCTCCCCTAAATGGCAAATGACGTTAAAAAAACAAAACAAGAAAAACACCATTTGAGAGGTGGGATGAGGCAGGTAGTTAGGAAAAGGAGATAGTAGGCAAATGTTTCCTAAAATTCCCCCTTCTCTCAACAGCTAACACTAGCAGTTGGCTTCTACTTTTAATCCCTTTGCCATAACAACAAACAGCATCCTAAGGATCAGTTACTGGCTACACAACTGTAATCTGTAAGGAAGCAATGCAACTGGCCCTTGAAGAACAGAAAAAAGGTATGCATGCTTTCAATTTACTATTTTCCTCTTAATACAAAGATACTATATGCTAGAGGACCAGCATATACCTTCATATGAGTATTTTTTTTTTTTTTTATGAACATCCCAGCATTCATGCCATCTTTGGCCACTGACATTTGCTCCAAGTGTTAAATATCCCAGATAAATGCTATGCTGTATGTTCAAGGTGTTCTGGACTAAGCTGTAGAATAATCCCTTTTACAAACACAGATGCCTCTCCAGACAGTCCCACCCACTTAGTGATTCACCATACTGATGCAATCTTACCATGCATCTTTCACAACATCACCACCACAGAAGAAAGATTTATTATTTATAAAGTGGTAATGCTGGCTTGGTGCCTGCCTTTCCTGCCAACTGCAAATTAATTATAATCAAGTGAAGCTGCTTCTGGTCTTTGTTATTCCCGCTCCACTACTTTTTGACATTCCTAATATAAAAGCTTCCTATTCTCCATCCACCAAGCCTCTTCCCCTTTCTTGTTGAAATTTTTTATTCTGGAATGTCTAAATTCCTGAGAAACCTCTACCTGCTTTCCAGAACTCTATCATCAAACTTAACCCCTATACTGCTAAATCTGGGAGAGAAGATATGAAATAGGGACTGGACCAGGAATAAAGCAACTTGCCACTAAATGGAATGTGAGGTAAATAGAATATGCAATTTCCTTAGAATGCACACCCTATCACATTCTTTCCTTCTCAGGTCTGCTAGTGGTACCTAGTGATCATTGCTGGGTTTTTTTCCAGGTCAGGTTGAAGGCTAGTAACATTGCAGACCCTTGATTATCCTTGAATAGAGCTATCAAAAACAACACCCTAGACATTATAATAAAAATATTCATTATGCCCTTATTTGATGCAAATCTGACATGATATGGCAATGAAAAGGAGGGTAGACGCTACAGATGTTGGTCAATGTGAAGGAAATACATAGCAGCTAAGAATTTTTATGTGTGTCAACAAAGTGCTAAAGTGGTGGGTGAACAAATACTTAAATCTTACCTGTTTTATTGTATAGTAAGCAAGTCCAACTACTCAGAATTCAATCATTAACCTTTGTTTTCTTAGTCTATACTTCTTTTACATCCAAAATCTGGCCTGAGGAAAACAATGAAACTTGGTGCTCTACCAAACCTCAGTTCTCTGTTTGACTAAGCTGCCATTGTTACTGGGCAAGGGTGTGGGGCCAAGGACTGGAAGGGAGTGGGTTGGGCCTGGCATGGGGAAGATCAGTGTCAGTCACTTGATTGGGTGGAATTATCTGTTTTACTAGGGTTGGTTGTTTCTAGGCCCCCTTAGGCATTGGGAGGAGAGAAACAGGAAGGGAAGGGCCAAAGTAAGCAAGGTGGTGGTTGAATGGACAGCACTGGCAGGATTATAGTGTCTTGATAATCAACTGTCCTGGGAGTCCAGAGTAGGAAGAAGTACAATCATGTGTCCCTTAATGATGGGACACATTCTGAGAAATGCATCATTAGGTTATTTTGTTGTGCTATGAACATCACATAGTGTACTTACGCAAACCTAGATGGTATAGCCTACTACGCTATATGGTATAGCATATTATTCCTATGCTACAAACCCATATAGCATGTTACTATACTGAATACTGTAGGCAACTGTAACACAATGGTTAAGTATTTGTGTATGTAAATATACAAACATAGAAAACATATGTGCTAGGACATCAAGATCATTACAATGGCCAAGAGGTCACTAGGTGACAGGAATTTTTTGGCTCCATTATAATCTTATAGGACCATCATTGTGTATGCAGGCTACTGACTGAAATGTTATGCAATGCACGACTATTTTCTTCTCCCATGTGGCTTAATAGCCAAACATGGGTGTTTGACAACATGGTATAATGAATGCACTCTTAAGCAGTTGTAAGAATAATTTCCTATTGGTTACATAGATGTAAATAAAACCAGGGACAGATGGGCCAAAGAAGAAATATAATATCTATGGCTGAAATTCATGTGTTTCATACAATTGCCATGGTCATTTAATTCAATAAATATGTGAGCGCCTACTGTAGGCACTGTTCATCAGTGAACAAAACAGACAAAAACTAAACCTTTGCTCCTCTGGAGTTTACTGTCTAGACCAGGCGTCCTCAATCTACAGCCCATGGGTCACATACTGGCCACCTAGCACATTTATCCGGCCCTCCAGGTGTTTTTTCCGCTGCTGCCTGTCCTGCTTAGCAGCTGACTCATCCCGGGCCCACAGTGCGCACTCTCCAATGGTCTGAGGGACAGTGAACTGGCCCCCTGTTAAAAAAGTTTGAGGACCCCTGGTCTATACTAAAGGAAGAAAAACAAATAGCTAGAAGGTAGTTAAGTGCTAAAGAAAATAAGATTAAGGGAATTTAGGAATGCTGAGGAGAGTGGTATTTCAATTTCAATATGGAAATTATGATGGCCTCATTAAGAAGCTGACACTTGAGCAAAGACTGCTTTTGTGTGTGTGTGAGTGTATGTGATGTGTCTTTTGAAATTGCAAAAAGTCAAAAGCTTGACAGTATCCACAGTTAGGGAAGGTATAGGGAAATCAGCATTCTGTTGTTACAGCTTTTTTAGAGAGGTATAGTTTCTTGTTTATAATCTCTCCCAGAGATAATAGGTTTTTGGATAGTGCATTTCAAAATCATGACATGGTATGCAAACCTCTTGTAGCTATTTGAGCTGAATGTCTAAAATTAATGCAAAAGAACTCAGAGGAAAACCAAACCTTTGTCATGAAATATTTTGCTGTGCTTTTAGGAGTGAGAGTTAAAAGATGGGTAGGAAGGATTACTGCTTTAAAATAAATCATACACATTTGGACAAGTTAAAAATATCTGGGGTTATTTAGTTTGATAACCACACTAAATTATGTGTGTGGGACCAGACTAGATCACTGAAGTACCCTTCTGACCTTTGGTCTTCAAATTTTCTACTTGCATACTCCCAAAGAGATTTTGAAAAACTAGGTATCACTTTATACATTTCTGAATTGACACATACATTTTTTCATAAGTTGAAATAGTTACACAGGATATAATTTCCAGCATACTTAAAAATAACTGTTATATCAGTCTTTTAAAAATATATCCAATAAAATTTAAATATCATAGCAATTTGATAGCTACCATTATCCATTAATTAAAAAATAAAGAGCTTTTTTAAGTCAGAAACATTATATCAACTTTTTTCTCCCCACATCTCTATTTCCATCTCACTCACTTTTATTCTAATCTAACACATTTTCATGCTTGATTTTTTTTTCTTTTTGAGACAGAGTCTCGCTTTGTTGCCTACCTAGGCTAGAGTGAGTGCCATGGCGTCAGCCTAGCTCACAGCAACCTCAAACACCTGGGCTTGAGCAATCCTGCTGCCTCAGCCTCCCGAGTAGCTGAGACTACAGGCATGAGCCACCATGCCCGGCTAATTTTTTCTATATATATTAGTTGGCCAATTAATTTCTATTTATAGTAGAGACGGGGTCTCGCTCTTGCTCAGGCTGGTTTCGAACTCCTGACCTCGAGCAGTCCGCCCGCCTAGGCCTCCCAGAGTGCTAGGATTACAGGCGTGAGCCACCTCGCCTGGCCCATGCTTGATATTTTAACGATCATTCTAACATACTTCTTTCCTACAGAAATGTTTCTAAATTTAAATTAAAACTCTGGATTCAGTTATTACAATTAATATGAAATTGGTCAAAACTAATTACACATTAATAAAATAATTACTAAACAAAAAATAAAGTTATAACGACAGAACTTTGTTTTCTCAATTAGTTTATGTACAAACATGGTTGAAAATTTACTTGTTACAACTCTTTTTCATTTTTACCAATGTAAGCACTGAGATGGGAATGGGAACATTTTTTTCAAACTCTGAACTTAAGTTATATGCTAAAAATCACACTGATCTATCATCAAAAATTAATTTTAAATGATGGACACACCTGTTATTGTTATTCTTAAGCAGATAAAATTTAAGAGCCACTAAGCTAGACTAAAGGAAAGAAGCTAAGGTAGATGCCCGGGCATTTAAACTCTTCTACCTTTTGTATAACTTTTAAGACAGTAAGGGTGTAGAGAGAATGGGTGGAGAATTCTCAAGTGGTCCTGCTTGCCTATATGTTTTTCTTCATTCTGTTTTACTAATAAGCTTCTATAAATCTAATAGTTGTTAGTAGATGTATTTTTTCTGAAAATCTGATTTTATTACAATAATGTAATGATACAATATGGTAAGAATTGTGGACATTCATTGAGCTCTTGTCATGTGCCAGGGACTGATCCGATGGCCTTATAGGAATTATATCTTTAATACACCAACCATCTTCT